CGTGACCTGTGGGCAGCCCGAAGCCCGGGACCGGGCCCGGGGCGGGCCCGGCCCGGCCTGTTGACAATGTGAATATTCACATTGACATGTTAACATTCACATTGATAAGAGTGTAAAATTAGCCCGCGCCCCGTGGCTACCCGAAACCCGTCCACGGCCTGTGGGCGGCCCGGGGCGGACCCGGCCCGGCCTGTTGACAATGTGAATATTCACATTGACATGTTAACATTCACATTGATAAGAGTGTACAATTGGCCCATGACCCGTGGGCAGTCCGAAGCCCGACCTCGGGCTAGGGCAAGCCCGGCCCGTTGGCAATGTGAATATTCACATTGACATGGTAACATTCACATTGATAGGAGTGTAAAATTGGCCCGCAGCCCGTGGACGGCCCGAAACCCGATCGCAGCCCGAGGCGGGCTTGGCCCGATCCGTGACAATGTGAATATTCATATTGACATATTAACATTAACATTGATAGGAGTGTAAAACTTGTCCGCTGCCCGAAACTCACCCACGGCCCGGGGTATGCCTGGACCCAAACCCGGGCCACCCCGGGCCGCCCATGGGACGCGAGTCAATTTTACACTCTTATCAATGTGAATGTTAACATGTCAATTTGAATATTCACATTGTCAACAGGCCGGGCCGGGGCCGCCTCAGGCCGCCCACGGGCTGTGGGCGTGTTTCGGGTAGCCACGGGGCACGGGCTAATGTTACACTCTTATCAATGTGAATGTTAACATGTCAATGTGAATATTCACGTTGTCAACGGGCCAGGCCCGCGTCGGCCCAGGGACGGGCTTCGTGCTACCCACGGGTCACGAGCTAATTTTACACTCTTATCAATGTTAATGTTAATATGTCAATGTGAATATTCACATTGTCAACGAGCTGGGCCAGGCCCGCCCTGGGCAGCGGGCGGGCTTCGGACTGCCCACGGGCCACGGGCCAATTTTATACTCCTATTAATGTGAATGTTAATATGTCAATGTGAATATTCACAATGTCAAC